CATGGAGAAGCCCATGAGAGGCTGTTCTTCATGGTTTCCGATTCAGTTCCTGCCTCTAGGTTCCTGCTTTGAGTTTCTGGCAACTTTCTCAATCTTGGATTAGAAAACGTAAGCTAAAATAATCCTCCTCCTCCCAAAGTTGTTTTTGGTCACGGTCTTTGTCAGAGCAGTAGAAGGCAAACTAAGACAGCAGGTCTCAAAAAAACCAAACCAAAACAAAAAAAGTGAACAACAAGAAGAAAAACCAAAAAACCAAAACCCAAGTAACTTAGCGGATGAGGAATTTGTACTGGGAATGTTTTGAGAACTGGGGCTGGAGAGACGGCTCAGCAGTTCAGGTTTCATGCTGCTCTTCTAGAGGACCCGAGCTCCACTCCTGGCACCCACACCACATGGCTCACACCAACTGTAACTTGAGCTCCACAGGATCAAAAGCGTCTGGCTTCTCCTCAAGTACCCACACACAGATACACACAAGATCAAAATGGGCAAAGAACCTCTCCTCAAGTACCCACACACAGATATGCACAAGACCCAAATGGGCAAAGAACCGAACTAGACATTTCCCCAGAAAACAGCGATGATAAAGAAGACAGGCAATGGTCATCAGCATCATTAGGTGCTAGAGAAAATGCAAATAAAAATGACAAGCAGATCCCCCTTCGAAGCCTCGAGGATGACTACAATCAAGAGCCAGACAATCACAAGTGTTGGTGCCTTGCAGGGTTCAAAGCCCACCCCCACAGTGACACTCTTCCTCCAACAAGGCCACACCCACTCCAACAAAGCCACACCTCCTAATAGTGCCACTTCCTAAGAGATTATGGGGGCCGATTACGTCCAAACCACCACAGCTGGGAACCAAACTCCAGTCTACTTCAGGAGTGAGCACAAGCTCCCTTGACCACTGAACCATTTCTTCAATCCCCAAGAAATAATGTTTACTTGCTTGGGTGTGCCTTGTTTTGTTGATGCCATCATGGTTAGATGGATATTTGGATTATTTCTACTATTTGGCTCTTGAAAATTATGCAGTTATGAACATGTATATGCATGTTTTAATGTGAATACAAGCTTTTGCTTTTCTTGGGTGTGTATACTCATGGCGGAACAGCAAGGTCACAGGGTAGTTCTGTGTTTGACCTTTGAAGACCCGCTCTACTGTTTTCCAAAATGGGGTGTGTGTCACTGTGGGGGTGGGCTTCCAGGTTTCCTTTGCTCAGGATACTACCCCGAGTCTCAGTTGACTTCCTGTTCCCTGAAAGATGCAGGGCTCTCAGCTGCTACTCCAGCACCACATCTGCCTTCACGTGACCATGCTTCCAGTCATGATGATAATGGACTGAACCTCTGAAACTGTAAACGAGCCACCCCAATTAAATTTTTTCCTTTGTAAGAGTTTCCATGGTCATGGTGTCTCTTCACAGCAATAAAAACCCTAACTGAGACACCAGCACACACATTGGGTGGCCCACACAGCCTGTAACTCCAGTTCCAGGGGATCCTATGTTCTTTTCTAGCCTCTTCAGGCACTTGTATACACATGTATATACACATATATACACATACGTAAAAATAATCTTAAAAATACTTTTGGGGGCCTGGCAGTGATGGCACAAGCCTTTAATCCCAGCATTCAGGAGGCAGAGGCAGGCAGATCTCTGTGAGTTCAAGGCTAGCCTGGTCTACACAGAGAGTTCCACCCCCCCAATATGGAGTCTAAAATGAGAAATATTATAATTTGGAATTATCATGTGTCCCTCCCCAGTCTGATATCACAGGCTCTTAAAGCAAACACTCTGTCCTGGCTGAGTCAGAAACTGCACCCAGATAAGAGCAAGAGAAATTCTCAACTCTCAACTTTCATCCAAGCCTTGAAGATAAGGGGCCCCAGGCAAGGAACTTTCAAGCTAAGAACAGTCCTCAGCGAAAGTCAGAGGGAAACTAGGAATTCCTTAGATCACAGGCACTGAGCTGTGCCATGAGCAGAAGAAGACAGCTGAAGCAAGACAGAGTCAGAAAATGGCTTCTCTACACCGGAGCTCAGCCTTGACCCTATAGCCCAGCCAGACCAGAGCCAGCGAGCAGCAAGATGACAGATCTAGGCTGTTTAGATGTGGTACCCTATTATGGCAGCAAAAGAGAATAAAATAATCGCTACTTTAAAACATAATGAGTTATTTGGAGGTTTCTCATCTGGGGATGAAAATGTCTACCCAGGGCTGAAAGACATAGGACACCTGTTCCCTCCCTCCCCTGCGAGAAGCAAGGAGCCAGCAAGTAGAGCCGACTTGGGGCATGGTGCCTGAAAATAGAAACTGCAACGTGATTTTCTTTCTAACTCCGTAGACATCTCTGTGAGTCATTCATCTCCCTGGGTTTCACTTTCCAAGTCTGCAAAGCAGGCTGAGTTAGCCCCGACTTCTGCTTACCCAGTACGCTGTGTGATGACTAGGAAGCAAAGTCTCACCAATGTGCTTCATAAATGGAGCCCTGGTGCCTTCCTTACCCAGGGCAAGATAAGTTGGATGCAATCTGGTCACAGAACCCTTCCCCCAAGAGGCACTTTCCTCCCGGCCCCACCTTCCTCCACGGAGCTCTGAGAGCACACTTTGTGATATGGTTTGGAGTGGGTAGTAGCAGCTAGCACAGAATAAGAAACTCTGGGCAGGCAGAGGCCCTGGAACCAATCCCACAGCCCTCACAGACAAGGTTTCCGGGACTGATTTGGGGGAGGCAGTGCTCTTATACCTAGACTATTGGGGGTTTAACATAACCAGATTGTTTCTCTGGAGAAAGTGAAGAAATTGTTCAGTTCAAAGCAGAAGCCACAGGGGTAGGACGGGAGGAGACTGAGGCGAAGGTGAGAGACAGGTCTGTGGGTACAGTGACTGCTGTGCAGGTGGAGGACCTAGGTTTGGATCCGGAGCACCCACATAAAATAGCCAGGCACAGTGAAATATATCCTGAAATCCTAGCACTGGAGTTGGAACAGCCCAATCAGCAAGCTCCAGGTTCAGTGAGAGACCCTGACTTAAAAAAAAGGGATGGAGACTGGAGAGACAGCCTGGCAGTTAAGAGCACTGTTGCTTTGCAGTGCTTTGCAGAAGACCCGGTTCAGTTTCCAGCACCCACATGGTGGCTTATAACCATCCATAACTCCAGATTCTTGAGATCTGATGCCCCCCTCTTCTGACATCTACCAGCACCAAGTACACATGCAGTGCACATAAATACATGCAAGCAAAACAGTCATGCATGTGAAATAAAATAAATACATATTTTTTAAAAAAGTGTAGAAAGATAAAGGAAGGCACCCGATCGATGACCTCTGACCTACACGTGTGCACACACAGACACAGATGAGGGGGAGGGCGGAGAAACTCAGCAACTTAGAACAACGTGGGAGCAACGGTCCAGCCGGGGTGTATGATGACAGGCTCATTCCTTCCCCAGCGCCGTCCTCACCACATAGGGGACACACACGTGTTTCCGATCAAGCCGGTCACAGCTAAATTGGTTTGGGGATGTTTTAAAAGATGTCTTCAAAGTAAGCAGAGATGACACTCTATGATGGCCACATAGAGGTCTGTGAAGTACCCTGCTCATCTCAACCTCTGGATATCTGTCCTCTCCCATGTACACTTTCCCTGGTCCTGGTTGTGTCTCATAGGACTAGGGAATGTGGGGAGGGCTCTAGGCTCTTGACATCAGCTGAGTCCAGTGTGGCTGACCCCTGCCTTAGACCCTCACTTCCAGTTCTAGGCCTGGCACTTTGCCCCATGTCCCACCTCAGACTGCACTCAATGTGACCTCAATCCTTGCTGAGGATCAGCAGTCTTTTCTTCAGGCCTCCTGGTGGCCCTGGGCGTGGTGACAGTGGGCCCCAGCTTCCCTTAGCTCCCCAGCCTTCCTGGAACCTTCTTGCCCAACATCCCATGTGGTAATCATGCCTGTTGGTTCTTCTGGTCCTGACAAATTCCCCCTGCTAGTGCTGCTTGGAGAGCAACTATCTTGAAAGAAAGGCCTGGTTCATGTTTCTTCTCACACCAGAGTCCCCTCTCCAGGTGGCAGGCTCAGGGGTGACCATGCAGCCTTTCATGCAGTCAGTGGGGTGTCTGGGAGGAGCCTCTGAAGAAGGAACAGAGCCCTGATGCTCCAAGAGTAAAGATGGGCACGCTCATCTAGGAGGTGGCCAAGGGCATCCTGCCGTGAGTACAGCACCATCCCTGCCTTCCTCCACCCAAAGTGGCTTGAGTTCTGCGGAGATTAAGGGCCACAGAGGAAGAAACAGCTTCATCTTCAGTGTCAGGGGTCATGGGGGACACTGTAGGGTTAGAATTAAAATGGGCATGAGGTTGAGAACAGGACATCAAAATGGATAGGCGTGGGATGGAGCCAAGAGCTGTCTTTTAAACACTTGCTGCTCTCTACCTAAAGCATCGTTTTATTTCCCATCTTACTTAAAGCCACACAGGCACAAGCTAACGCTCATCATCTGACAGTTAAATTTTGGCCCACACTCTCACTACCTTCATTTACAGAAGAACACAGAAACAGTCCCAAGACTCTGTAAATTAGGGGGTGTCAGAGATCTGGAGCTGACTGGCGAAGGTGTAGCAAGAGCGTGCACTCCCAGCTTTTAACTCACTCCTCTGGGTACGGGAATGCCTAGTGGATCAAGCTATTCACTCTACAGATGAGGGACCATGAGACCTGGGAAAGGTTCCAGACCACAAGCCAGGGACACTGCTCATCCTCTGAATCTTCTCAATGACACATCCACTATCTCCACCCCTAGCATCTTCAGGGGCACACGCGCATCTCCGCGCAGCAGGGCAGCCCTGCCACTGAGAGAATGACTCAGGTAAGAGAAAAGACCATGCATGCAAGCCTAGCAGCAGGACGCCAGGAAGCACTCGAAGGCCCCGCCTCCGCCACCGCGCCCGCGAGATAGGGGGCGTGCCCAGGCCCGAGGCCCCGCCTCCTCCGCGCGCCTCGCCCTTGGCCCCGCTGCGCGCGCTCCTGGCGCCCGAGTGAGCGCAGCGCGGGGCCGCGGTGGCCTGAGGCCTGCCCGCTGGGCCCTGTCGCTACGCAGCCTGAAAAACTGCGGCGTCCCAGGCAGAACTTGGCCTCGCGCCCGGGCGCTCTCGGAGCACCGAGGCGCGGCCCCGCGTGAAGCGCGCACCTGCCGAAGACGAAGCACGGGCAGGGGGTCCCAGGTCCCCCCAACGCCCCAGCCGCCTGTCGCCTGTCCTGTTAGCCAGCCCGGGCCACTTCCCGGAGGAGCGAGATGAAGTAAGCTGCACCCCCCTGCTTGCTCTGGGCTGCGTACTTCTTGCACTCGAAGGCACGCCATTCAGCTGGCCACGGGGGTGGCTGGGGTCCAACTGCTCGCCCGAGTCACCGACCCTCCACCCGCACGCCCCTCCTTGCGCGGAATAAAGGCATCATCTCCCCACCCCACCCCACCCTACCCCTGCAGGGCCTGGGGATGCGGTGCAGTTAGGTGGCGGGCCAGTAGGAGGCGGCCAGGCCCCTTCCCTGGCAGCCCTGGGGGCCCAGCGCGCCCTTGTCCCTAGGCTTCCGGGAACGTGCCGCAGAGAGTGAGCTGGTGATTTCCCAATGCTTAAACTTTGGCAGCTGCTATCGCATGAGCGTTCTCTAAATACCGACCCCGCAAATTCTTTTCCAGAGGCATGGAGCCTCTGAAAGTCGGCTTTCCCAGCCCTGAATGCTTAGCCGGAAGCAAAGAACTGAAAGTTCCATACAGCTGATTTAGTAGGTAGTCCACCCCTTCCTTCGTGGCCCTTAAAAGGTAACCAGTTGGAAAACCAGGACCCCTATAGTCTGCCGTGAAGCATGGCTGACCGACTCTTTTGAGTTGATGAGGCTCATCTTTACTTTGGGAACACATCACAGAAAAGCGCCTGTTTAAGAAGGGCGTAGTGGTGTACACCTTTAATCCCAGCACTTGGAGGGAGAGGAGCAGAGGCAGGAGGCAGAGGCAGGAAGATCTCTGAGCACTCTAGGCTAGTCCCACAATGAGACCCTACCTTAAAAAAAAATGTTGTGTTTGACTTGAGCATGGCTCATTTTAAAAGAGTTTTGGATTTAACAACAACAACAACAATTTTTTTTTTTTTATACAAGACAGTTTAACTGAAAACAACAGATTACTATTGGCTGTTTGGGTAGATCAGGGACCATTTAAAAAGGAAAGGAAAGATGGGCTGGTAGGGCCCACCCATTATCCCAGCATTTCTGAGCCTGCAGCAGAACATTGAGTCAGGCCGGCCTGGGCTACCTAGCCACACTCTTTTCTCCAACTAAAACAAAACCGAAAAGGAGACTTACGAAGACTGCTTTAGCATCTGTGGCGCAGTCCTCCAGACCTGCTAGAGCAGCTGTCCTGGTTTGTAAAGTCAGGAAGATCTCTTACATCATGGCCTCACGAAGTATGTTTTGTTCCCTGATCTGCTTTCTTCTGGCCAGCTATTAAAATGAGGTTGTTTGTCCCCATTTTACAGCCAGGGAAAATAATCTAGAATGAAGCCGGGGGGTTAGCGCCACACACTTACAGCCTTCCTCTTTTGACTCTTTGGTGTCATTTTTTCCCACCTAGGACATCATCCATGCTAGGCAAGCCCCAAACCTGTGAGCTACAGCCCAGTTTTTATTTCTTTTCAAATAATGTGTTATTTTTTAAAGGTTAAAAAAAATGTGAGTGTGAGTATTTTGCCTGCATGTCAGTATGCGGTGTGTGCGGTGTTCACTGAGTCTAGAAGAGGGTTTGAGCGCTCCTGGAACTGGAGCTATAGATGGTTATGAGCTACCGTGTGGACGTGGGGAATCAAACCTGAGTCCTCTGCAAGAGCAGCATGTGTTCTTAACCACTGAGCCATCTCTCCAGCCCCGTTTATTTTATTTGTATGTACGTGTGTACGTGTGTGCATGCCTGTGGAGAACAGAAGAGGGAGCTGGAGCCCCCGGAGCTGGAGTTACTGTGAACTGCCATGTTGGTGCTAGGAACTGAACCTAGGTCTCTACAAGAACAGCAAATGCTATTAACTGCTGAGCAAATTCTCTAGTCCTCCCCTCCCCCACCCCCATTTGTTTTGTTTTCATTTTACTTATTTATTGTATATGTGTGGTTAGGTGTTTTATCTCCGTGCATATCTGTGTACCACATATGTGCCTGGAACCCTTGGAGGCCAGGCGAGGGCTGGAGTTACAGATGGTTGTGAGCTGCAGTGTACATGCTGGGAATGGAACTCAGGTCCTCTGCAAGAGCAGCAGGCACCCGTAACTGCTGAGTCATCTCTCCAGCCCTGTTGCGGTTTTTTGGGACAAGGTCTTGTTTTGTATCCCAGGCTGGTCTCAAGCTCTCAATCCTTCTCCCTCAGCTTCTTCAGTTAGGGAATTACAGACATAACCCGGCTGTCATACTCTTCTTCTGGCCAGATGGTAGATTTCTCAAGATCTAAGAAGGGGCCATCCCAGCCCTGCAGCTCTTCAGTCAGCGTGATCAGAGGAGCCAGCTGAGCTCTTAGGAGCCGTGCCTTGCAGTTTTCCTGTAGCAAGGTGGTTAATTGTATTTGAGGCATTGTGGGAAGTGCCTTCATGATGCTCATGTTCAGGGGTAGAAGCTAGCATTTCATGAGAGCCTACGGCTTGCCAAGCACTGCGCTAAAGTGCCTTACACGGATCATCTTCGTGTGTGCTTATAATGGACTTGCTTTTCTGTTCTGTGGTTGAGGAACAAAGAAGTTAAATACCGTCTTGGGTCACCCAGCTGCAGGGAGGCACAGAGTTGAATTCCAGATTGTATACTCAGTGTCTTAGCCTTTAGCCTCACATTTGATAGCGGCATTGGAGGTTAGTACTATAACCATTTCTGTCACCTCTGACTTGTCTGACCTTCAGCAAGGTAGTTGACCTTTCTGTGTCTTAGTTCTCTGCTACACAAATGGTTGACGATGGTACCTACCTCACAGAATTGTGGGAGGAGTAAAAGAGGCCTAGCATTTGGCATATGGCGTATGCACCATAAATAGCTCACACTACTAATAGTCTTGGTATAAGCAAGAAGCAGCTGCTGGTGGGTTGCAGTGTCACAGTGCCTGAAGTGGCCATTACAACGTATTGTTTTCATGCCATCATTCAGTCCTAGGCATCTTGTACTGAGGTTACAGCGATCCTGTGCAAATGGTATTTGTTTAGCAGACATCACTGGGGCTTGCTGACTGCTTGGCCCTGTTTGGGATGCTGGAGATGCTGCAGTAAGATGAACGTACCTCTCCTTGTTCAGGCTGGACTTGATTTCTCGGGAGAAAGAGTGGCAGGCAGTAAGCAAGCTCCATGTAATCATCATACAGGGTCCTCGGAAGTGTTAGAGACCTAGGGCTGGGGATGTAGCTCAGTTGGTGGAGTGTTTGCCTAGCATATGTTACACATCCAACACTGCATAAAACTAAATCTGGTGACACATGCCTGTCACCCTAGCATTCAGGAGACGGTGGGGGGGGGGGCGGGGAGAGCAGAAGTTCATAGGGCAGGAGAGAAGGCTCAGCAGTTAAGAGCACTGGCTGCTCTCCCAGAGGACCTGGGTTCAATTCGCAGCACCCACATGGCAGCTCACACCTGTCTATAACTCCCATTCCAGAGCACCCCAAGCCCTATTCTGGCCTCTGCAGGCCCCAGGCATGTGTGTGGCACACAAACATACAAAACACCCACACACATAAAATAATTTCAGGGAAATTCAAGGTCATCCTCAGCTACATAGCAAGTTTGAGGGCAGCCTAGGATCCATGAAGCCAGGAAGGAAGGAAGGAAGGGAGGGAGGGAGGGGGGGAGGAGGCAGGAAGGGAGGGGAAGAAAAAACTACAGAGGGAAGTAGAGCGGGGAGGAGGCATGAAGTGGAGTGGCAGTTCTAGTATTTTGTGGAGTGGTCTGAGAGAGCCCGACTGAGCAAATGGTCTTGCTGCAGTTAGTGAAGGAATGCACCATGTGGGCACCTGTGGGGGAAAGTAGGCCAGACAGAGACAAGAGCCAGTACAAAGGCTGGAGGCAGGAGGATGGGCAGAATAGTACAAGAGGTCATAGAGGTGATAGGGAGAAGCTAGACTGTGTCGCCCCTCCAGACAGACCTGTGAACAGAGAACTGGCATGATACCAACCCTGGGAGGGTCGCTTTGGCCCCTGGGCCGACTCAACTCTGCAGGAGCCAGAGGAAGCTGTAAGAGGGAGGAAGGGCCTTCTGTAGTCAAGCAGGCGGAGGTGATAGCAGAACACTGTGCTCCAAACCTCTGTAACTTTTACTGTGTTTGTGTGTGCACACGTGTGTCCACATGTGGAGATCAAAGGACAGGTACTGGAGTTGGATCTCTCCTTCCATCCTGTGAGCTGAACTCAGGTTATCAGGCCTGGTGATGGGGACCTATAGCTGCCCCCAAATATAACCTGAAGGTCGACATTAGTGTTTTCCAACAGACCAGACACCTCTAAGGTTTGTGATCTGAACGTGTGTACGTTTACGGGGGCTTGTGGGAACTGCATTTGAAGCAGGTTGAGAGGTGTGGTGGTACGTGCCTGTAATCCCTGTGCCAGGGAGGATGAGGCTGGAGGATGGCAAGTGGAGGCCAGCCTGGGCTAGGTGGAGATGCTTTGTCTCAAAAACAAAGAAACACAAACCTGAAGGGAAGGAGAGAAGGGAAGAGGAGGGGAGAGGAAAGAAGGGAAGAGGAGGGGGAGGGGAGGGAAGAAGCTAGATTTTTTGGTCAGTAAACCAGTTGGATTTTGATGTGGTTAAGCCTAGTCAGCATTCAACTAATGTGACCAGAGGATCAGAGTGTGGGTTGATTGACCACTCTAGAGGTGAGGTGGGGGAGTCCAAACTGGAAATACAGCCTTGGCCACACAGATAGCAACTGGCTGGTCAACTTTGAACAGCTACTATGTAGGAGGCGTATTGACCTTTGTTCTTAATAGAATTCAGTTGGTTATTCATTCATCTAACTTTGATTTGGTAATGGCTATGCTTGACAACCCGTTGGGAAAACACCCAGAAATTTAGCAATCAAATCTTGCAAACAGGTACAAAGGGGCTTTGGGTGCCCTCACTGCTTCCAGCTGCCATCTGAGGAGGCCAGGGAAAGGGCTCTTTGAGTGTAGAGAAGAGCTTGGTCTGGAAGCCCAGGTCCCCAGATTGGCCGCAGAGGACCAAATGCAGCTCAAGGTTGATTGACACTCCTGTTTGCCTGCACTGGTGAGTCTGACATCGGACCTCAGAACTAGAGGGGACCTTTGGCTGGTAGGGATGGTTTTATAAATGTTCTTTCATTTGAATTCTTGCTTCCTTCCCAGTTCTTTTAAAAAGTCCAGATTTCTGGGCCGTGATTTGAGGAGCATCCCTTCTTCTAGCCCCGCCCCCAGGAGTCAGCTTTGTCAAGGCATCTGTGGGAGCTAGGAAAGAGTGTGTGTGTGTGTGTGTGTGTGTGTGTGTGTGTGTGTGTGTGTGTGTGTGTAATGACCCCTGATTTTCCCTCTCACTGCTATGGCTAGCCAACAGCACCAGCCCCATGCTTCTTTCTCTGCTGGCCTGGGCAGGGACAGCTGTAGGCTGGCTGGCCATGTCCCCCTTTCCTATAAGAGTAAATGGAAGACGGAACTGGACTCTTCTGTTCACCATGACCAAGTCAGTCTTTCACCTTTTGGAATGTTAGCAGGGCCTTTCTTAGTTGGGAGTTGGAGAGCCAAGAGTGTTGAAATAAGATCCTTGTGTGCACACTCAGTCCTAATTCTAAATTGAGCCTGTCAGAGCGGTGCGTTGTCACCCAGAGGAGGCCCACCTGTTTTCCTGCTTGCTGACTCCACCTCTTTTTTACTTATTTTATTTTGTGTGTTAGAGTATTTTGCCTGCATGTTCATATGAGCACCATGTGATGCTTGGTGTAGGTTTCCCTGGAACTGGAGTTAAGGATGGTTGTGAGCCACCATGTGGGTGCTGGGACTGGGCCCTCTGCAAGAGCAGCAAATGCTCTAAACTTCTGAGCCTTCTCTCCAGCCTCTATCCTCTCTCTTATTTTTCCTTGCTTTTCTTTCTTTTGATTTGGGGTTGCTATGTAGCCCAGGCTAACCCTGAACTCACAATCCTCCTGACTCCCAACGGCTGAGATTGTAGGCTTGAGTCACCATGTCCTGTTCCAGCCGTTTCTTGAACAACACAATTTGTTATATATGAAATTGTATTCTCCACACTCTCCTTAGCTTGTTTGGTTTTCTGAGACAGGCTTTCTCTGTGTATCCCTGGCTGTCCTGGAACTCACTCTGTAGACCAGGTTGTAGACTTGGCTTTATATCTCTTGGCCCTGTGACCCACAGAGGTCTCTGTCTCCCCTAGCACTTCCCTGCCTATATAGATAGGTGGTGGCATCTCCTTGATAGTGGAGTGGGGACCTCCCTGGAAAGCATGGGACCAAGGGCCAGTAAACTACCTGGACATACTTAGTTTACTTCCCTGGGGAGGAAGCTGAGACCTTGCCAGATTAAATGCCCTCTTCAAGGTTGTGTGATTATGGAGGATGAGGGTAAAAGTATGGCTGAGAAAGATGTTTTCCAGTGTCCATGTTGACATCTCTGTCCTTCTCTCCAGCTTCTCGGACTGTTTAGCAATGGTTTCCTGACTGATCGCTTAATTAGACAAAGAAGAAAGCAAGGGAGAAGAAAATTCCTAAGTGGGCATTTGGTTTCCTGCCTCTTGACCAACATCCAGCATCGTGTGCCCAGCTCTGGTAGGTTGTTTCATAGCCCCTTCCTCTCAGTCAGTGCGAAACCCCTCAAAGGTAGCCTCTGCAGCAGCGGGAGGTGCAGCTGCAGGGTGGAGAGCCAGGCTCAGCTCTCACTGTCCTCATCCTGGGAGACTGATATTGGTGAAATTATTAAGGCCACTCCATGTAGTTAAAAGGGAGGTTTATCTTGTGGGGTAATTTACAAATGAAGGGATAGCTTATAGGGTCTGGAAAAGGTGTGGTGCAGTCCGGCGGTGTTCTCTGGAGAACTCTGCTCGGTCTACCTCCAGCATCCAGGGTCCAGGAACCAAGAGAGCTGGCACATCCGGATCTCAGGTCTTCAGGGTCCTCCCTTGGCCCCGTCTTGTAGGTGTGACAGTTACCGAAGCCTCAGTGGGGGTTGAAACTTCCAGATCAAAGCTGGAATAGCTACCCACTACAGGCTAAGCTGATTGTGAGATTGGTAACAGACTTTGCTCACCAGAGTGCTTGGTGGGGTTGGCTCTGTAGCCCAGAGGAATGGTCAGTATCTCAGCAATGGTGTTGTGCCACTCTGGGGTGGGACATCACTTTATATTTAAATTTCTTCCCCTCCCCCCTCCAGACAGGGCCTCCAACTACTTATATTTGAAGCTGACTCTGAATTTCTGACCTCCCTAATTTCACCTCCCAAGTGCTGGGTTACAGGGGCACATCGCCATACCTGGCCCATTTGAGTCGTCTAATTAGTTAATATGTGTCTAGTATTCATTAAAAAAACTTTTTATTACTCTTATTTGGTGTGTGTTACATGCATGCATACCCATTTACCTGCCATGGCATGCATGTGGGGCTCAGGGAACAAATTCAATGGAGTCAAATTTCCTTCTACCATGCGGTTCCAGGGACTGCAATTGGGTCACCATGCTGCTCAGTAGTAAGAAGTGCCTTTACCCACTGAGTCATCTCATCCATCTGGGGGTGGGGAGTGAGAGAGAGGGAGAAAGAGAGGGTGGGAGGAGCGGGGGGGGAGAAAGAGAGAGAGAGTGTTATTGTTTGTTTTTTGGTTTGGAGACCGTCTTACTATGTAGCCGAGGCTGGGCTTGAACTTTTAGTAATTTTGCCTTAGCGTTCTGACTGCTGGGATGACAGGCATGTGACCTCATACATGGTTGTGCATGTTTTTGTTTTGCTTTGGTTTGGGTCACAAACCTCATCTCTACTCATCTTTACAACGCTTCCCTCTTTCAGGTCAGCAGAATCTGTCAGGATTTTTTTTTTAATGTACTAGAGACTGGACCCAGGCCTCACCCCCGATAGACAAATGCTCTACCACTGACTGGGATCTTCAGCCCTTTTCTCATTCTTAATTTTGAGACAGGGTCTAAGTTATCCAGACTGACCTCAGACTCCATTTGTAGCCCAAGCTGGCTTGAACTTTTGACCCTCCTGCTTCAACCTCCCAAGTGCTAAGATCATAGGCATGAGCCACCGTGCCTGGTTTCTGGCATGTTTTATAGATGAAGAAGTCAGGACCCAAATGGATTAACTATTTTCCAAAGGTCCTGTAGCTAGAAGGAGGGTTAAGCCCAGTGCTTCGGACCCCCTCGCCCACACCCCCTCCCCCGGGTCATGATTGACTAAGAAAGAGGGTTTAGCATGGTGACTGGAGCTTTATGGCTTCATAATTCATTCCTCCTCCTAGTCTCCTCAACTGTGTGGGGAATATTATTTTTAGGTGTGTTACTTTTGTTTATGTTGCGTTTATTTAACTCTGTGAAGCTGTGTTACTGTGCCTGTCTAATGCACCTGATGGTCTAATAAAGAGCTGAACAGTCAATAGCGAGGCAGGAGAAAGGACAGGCAGGGCTGGTGGGCAGAGAGAAAAAAATAGAAGGAGAAATCTGGGAAGAGAGATTGAGAAGGAGGAAGACATTAGGGGCCTGCCACCCCGATACACAGCAAGCCACAGAGTAAGAGTAAGATTTACAGAAGTAAGAGACTGGGAAAAGCCCAGAGGCAAAAGGCAGATGGGATAAGTTAAGGAAAGCTGGCGAGAAACAAGCCGAGCTAAGGCTTATTAAGAATAAGCCTCTGTGTGTGATTTGTTTGGGAGCTGGGTGGCGGGCCCCCTAGAAAAGAGCAAAAACAAACAACAACCTACAACACAGCTGTCTTATGAGAATCAGAACCAGTGGGGCCAGGCAGCACCGCTAAGTCAGCTCATTCATGTTGGCTACCACAGTCAGCACAGGGCTTACTTGGAGCCATTTATGACCAGGAGAAGGGAACTAAAGTGTCGGAGGGAAGCTCCAGCAGCATTGTTCTGACCTGGTGATGGAAGCAGGAGGCCAGGCCGGCATGTGCATGTTTTATTTTTTCTCTTGGTGTGTATGGGTGTTTTGCATGCACTATATGCATGCCTGGTATCTACAGAGGCCAGAAGAGGGCATTGGATCCCCTGGGATTGGAGTTACAAACAGTTGTGAGCTGCCATGTGGGTATTGGGAATCTAACTTTGGGAGCAACTAGTGCTTTTAGCCACTGAGTTGACTCTCCAGCCCCAGGCATGCATGTTTTGATGCTGATGCCTTCTGTGCTCAGTGCTCTGGAACCTGGCAGCTGGAAGTATGCTCCTTGGGCCCAGCTGTCAGCTTTGGCCTCTCCTTTATCTTCTCCATCAGAATCTGCATTTTAAACAGTTCCCCAGGGAACTCAAGCTCACAGTACAGCTTGAGCGATGCTGTTAAGGTTAAAAAACAGGATCATAATGAAAAACAAGTAACACATTCTCCCCTCCCTGCATCAACACCTGAGACAGATGGGAGAGCTGGCCCTGAGATCCTGAGAGCAGGAGACCTGTCCCTGCCCCCAAGCAGCTGCAACACTCAGGAGAGCAGGCCCTGCACCTCGCTTGGGCAGCACAGTAGAGCTGACCCTGTTGGTGGACGTGTGAGTGAGTCAGCCCCAGAGTTGTGAGCATGGGAGAGCTGTCCCCATTATTCATCTGTCATGTGGCAGCATGGGCAGAGGAGAGATGCCCTCCACTCCCCCCTCCCATCAGTGCCTGAGGCAGGTGGAAGAAGTCATAAGAGTGGGAGAGCTGTCCCTGCCCCTCACCAGCTGCAGCACTCAGGAGAGTGGCCCCTGTGCCATGGCTGGGCAGCACAGTAGAGCTGGCCCAGGAGGTGTGGATGTGGGAGAACCAACCCTGAGGATGTGAAAGTGGGAGAACCGGCCCCGCCCCTTGCTTGTCACTGCAAAGGGTGAACTAGCCAGGCAGTGCTGGAGAGCTCACCCTAGTGGTGAAGACAGGGGAGAGCTGGCAGGCTGACCAACCCTGCAACTACCCAGGCCCAGAACTTCCTTCTCCAGGCTGTTCTCTGTGTTGACCCACCCCAACATCCACCCTATCTGTGATCTGCTGGAGCAGGAGGGTGAGAGGTGGGGGTGGGGTTGATCCCGTGGACCCAAGGCTGCAGGATCTCTATGACACAGGGCAGCAACAGGGTGTCTAGGGTCTGGCATTGATGGTGTAGCAGAGACCAGGGGCCTTGAACCAGACCAATGATTCTTTGTGATAAATGCCTGCATGTAAAAATGTATGGATAAAGGGGTTTACTGATAAAGAAAAAATATTTCTCAAAATTTTATTTTGTTTTATTCTGGAGGTGGGGGTGGGAGGGAGATGGGTGGGATTGGGAGGCATGATGTGAAAGACACAAAGAATAAATAAAAAGAAAGTTAGAACAATGTGTGCCACCCACGCTGACTTCAGAAAGAGTAGTTACGGTAGGTGTTTAGTAATCACACTGTAAACAGTTCTGTTGAAATTCCCAATGCTGTTTGCTTCAAGAGTTCTGGGAATGCAAGAGAGAAGACTGGTTGACTTGGGCACTAGGTCCAGAACACACATGTTGTCCAAGGAAAATGGTGTGGTAGAGGACCAGAAGGCAGTGTGGGTCAGGTGCCATCCAACCTTGTCCTTAGAGAGGTGGCCTTGGGATCCCCCACCTGACAGCCCCTTGAGACTCCCAGCTTCTTTCTGTACCAGCACATCCCGAGCCCTGGCTCCCAGGGCCGGGTCAGGAGTTTGGGATGCAGCTTGCCAGCTGGCTCCTCCTCCTTCTCCAGGCTGTTCTCTGGGCTTCGGATTTCTCCTGCCCTGACCTTGCAGCTTTTCCTCCCCTGGGGCAGAGCTGGTGCCAGCGAGAAAGAAAGGCTCAGGTGCCAAGGACGGGAATTGGGAAGCAGAGGAAAACGGAATGCCCTGGAGTCTGTCTGTGTATTTGGGAACAGAGATACAGGGTGGGCAGGAGAGGACGACTGGGGCCTCTCACGTGCTTTGAATGGACGGAGGTGTCTGTGCCCTGTGGACGCTGGCACAGACACTGTGTTTGGGTCCTTGTCCCACTTGGGTGTCACCAGAGCCATCTTGGTGGCGGGTCCCCGGAGAGATGAAGAAGGAAGGCTAGGACCAGGTCAAATCGGGTGCATGGCTCACACCTGCAATCCCAGTACTTCAGAGGCTGAGGCAGGAGGATTGCCATGAGTGTGAGGCCAGGCCGCGCTACTGAGTAAGACCCTGTTTCATACAATAACAGTAACAGCAACAGTCAAACAAACAGGCAAATGTAATCCCAACAGAACAGTGCTGGTAGGCTGGTCAACTCCGTGGGGCCTCTGGTACGCTCCATGATCTCTAATCCCCTTTCCCATCTGTGTGGTCATATTTATTCTGTTCATGCTGTCTGGTTTATGAACGGTGTCCCGCCAGTTTCTGTAGTTCCCTGTTCACCTTTCCACCTCCACACTGCCCCTATTTCCACCTTTACCTCCCTTAGCTGCGGTTCCTGCCCTCTCCATTCCTTCGGCCCTTTCCCAAAGCCGGGCTTCATGGAGAGCTGGAGGACTATGGTGATAGAAACACAACCCTGGGCTAGAACAGAGAACCAGCCCAGTAAATACCCAGGTCCCTGTGACTTGACTCAGGCCTCTTGCCTCTCAGATGTACCAGCTGCCACACGTCGGGCTGACAAAGCTAGCCAGGCAGGCATGTTTGCCTGTGGAAGGCCAAGCGATTGCCAGGACCCAGCTGCCACTCTGTCACTGTGGAAGCTTCATTCCAAGGCACCTCAGCCTTCCCATGTGCAAGGGGACTGTAGTCAAACTGTCCTGTGTGAGTCGTCAGGGCTCTGGTCTGGATCCAGTGAGATCAGACTGAGAACGTTTGGTTTTGTGATCGGCACCTGTGAATATCATTTTATACCGTCAGCTTTCCTGAAAACAGTGGCTGAGAGGCAGCAGGTACTGCCTAAGCATCGTATGAATGTGAAGCCATTTTGTTCTTGCAACAAGCCTGTGATGGAGGCACCACTATAGCACCCATTTCAGAGGAAACGGGGTGTCGCCAGGCTAGTCGTCGGGCTAGGGAGCAGAGCTGGGTCGATACTCAGGCACTAGGCTGCACAAGCCTGTTTAATTGTTGTTGTGATGGTTTTTGGTTTTATTTTTGTGTTGGGTTTGTTTGTTTATTTGTTTTTCAGACAGAGTTTCTCAGTGTGGTCCTGGCTGTCCTGGAACTCACTCTGTAGACTAGGCTGGTGTTGAACTCAGAGATCCACCTGCCTCTGCCTCCCAAGTGCTGGGATTAAAGGCGTGTGCCACCAAGTACTTTCTTTTTTTTTTCCTTCCTGTGTTGGGAACGGGACCCACTGTCCTCGTTATACTGAACAGTTTACTACAGAGCCACATACACTCCACCCCCAAGTCTGTGCTTTCTCCATCACATTTATATGTGCATGTGCACATGTGCATGCATGTATACATGGAGGAGCTCAGAGGACAGCTTGCAGGAGCTGATTCTCTCCTCCCACCATGTGGGTCCCAGGGATTATACTCAGGTTGTCAGGTGGGGGCAGGTGTATTTTCACACCGAACCACGTTGCTGGCCCCCACACCCTCTATTAGTTGTGATTTTGTGTGTGGAGTCCAGTAGACATGGGAAAAGGCTGAGGATGGGTGAGAGAAGGTGGCTACTGGCTGAAGGGCACCTGCTGCTCTTCCTGGGTTAGGCTTCCCCTGCTGTCCAGCTAGCCTGTGCTCATGTCTGAGGCTAGCTGTGGCCGTGAAGTGGCCCACTGCTCTCTCAGCACTGTGGGCCTCCCTGGTGATTTGTGCCACTCTTTGGTGCTAGCAGTAGAATGCCCTGGATCCATCGAATGGCCTAGGACTCTCCCAGGCCCAATTCCTGCTTACAAAGCAAGCTCCCTACACACTGACTTCCTGGCACGGAAGCCAGTCTGCTCAGGGGAGGGGAATGCTGAGTGACTATAACATTTCCCCAAGAAACATGTGGCTGTGTCTTGCCAGGCAGGAAATGTCTGATGCTCTAGCTGTGTTTCTTCCACATCATAACCTCCTGAGCCATGTCTGATACTTCCTCCTTCCTTGTCTCTTCTTCCCAGGCACCCAGACGGTTGAAAGATGCTCATAGCGGCAATGTGCTTAGCCCTTCTGGGCTGCCTGCAGGCCCAGGAATTCAAGGGACATGTTTCTATAATCCTGCTGGGAGCAACTGGGGACCTAGCTAAGAAGTACCTGTGGCAGGGACTGTTTCAGCTCTACCTGGATGAGGCTGGGAAGGGCCACAGTTTCAACTTCCATGGGGCTGCCCTGACAGCCCCCGAGCAGGGCCAGAAGCTCATGGACAAGGCCTTGGAATCCCTCTCCTGCCCCAAGGACTTGGCACCCAGTCACTGTGATGAACTCAAGGGTCAGTTTCTACAGCTGAACCAATACCGACAACTGAAGACAGCCGAGGACTATCAGACCCTGAACAAGGACATTGAGACCCAGGTCCGGCAGGATGGGCTCTGGGAAGCTGGCAGGATCTTCTACTTCTCTGTGCCACCCTTTGCCTATGCAGACATTGCCCGCAACATCAACAGCAGCTGCCGACCACGACCAGGTGCCTGGCTGCGGGTTGTTCTTGAAAAACCCTTTGGCCATGACCACCTCTCAGCCCAGCAGCTGGCTTCAGAACTTGGAAGCTTTTTCCAGGAAGAGGAGATGTATCGGGTAGACCATTACCTGGGCAAGCAGGTGAGCTGCAGCTTGGAGTCCGGCATGGCTGTGCTGTGTGGGGTACCATGGATCTATCATCAAGGACTTAGTACCAAATTAGAATTGGGCTAGAGAGTGTTGGGAACCCTCAGGATCTGTGTTCTTCCTGAAGGCAGACAGGAGATGTGGAAGCAGGAGAGACCAGTGAATAGCAGGAAGGACCATTTTCTATCTCCTTGTCTTGGCTTTCCAGAGAGGGTGTACATCCTGATCTCCCCATGTTGACCTGCCTTCTCCACAGAAGTGGTCCAGGGACTCTGATATCTGGATGTTTTTCATTTGGAAATGCTGTGGAAATTAGAATTAGCTTTTTAAATCCCTCACCCATCTGCCTTTTAAAAATAAAAATCTTGGTCATCTTGAATTCTGTCTTGAGGCAAAAGGATGATAACAACTTAGAACTGAGTGAGGGAGTGGACTCTTGAATCCAAGTGGTTCAGTGAAGCCTAGAAACAGGAGCTGGGAGCGATCTGGAAGTTACAGGTCAGCGGCCAGTTCACTCTGCACAGGCCTCAGAACTCTGGGCTCATCAAGCGCTAGCATTCCCAGTACAGAGTGCACTGTGCCCTCTGGTACCCAGACTGCTGAGGTGGGCCACATACTGGGCAGGGAACCAGCTCACAGGCAGGTGCTTCCCTTCCCATCTGACCCTCTGTGTCTGTCATGGTAATAGTCTCAAACTGTGCTCCCCAGACCAGGGCCAGTCTTGATAAGGAATCAGTGCCCTGGAAATGAAAAGGAATATTATTAAATGTATACAGTTTAAAGTTTTTCATGTTACAATTTTGTCATTAAACTATTTTTATTAAAGTTGATAGTCTTAAAAGATAGGGTTCATTTTTTCCCCTTTACTGTCCTTTTTTTTCTCTTTGTACTGCAGATTGAACCTGGGGTCTCAGGCATGCGAGGCCAGCATTCTACCACTGGCCACAGGAAGACAGTCAATTTTAAACATGTTCTTTCGTGGCTGGAAACTGTTTAAGCCATTTAGTTTTAAGTGTCTCCATTGAGCTGTGAGACCTGAGGTCTAGGACCTGGTGCCCACAGATGGTTTCTCCCTTAAGCGAAGAGGTCTGGAGCTCGGGAGCCAGGGCTCTTCCTTCACCCAGGAACCTGCGATGACCAGTCTTCCTTCCCGACAGGCCGTGGCTCAGATCCTGCCCTTCCGAGATCAGAACCGTAAGGCCTTGGATGGCATCTGGAACAGGCACCACGTGGAGCGCGTGGAGATCATCATGAAGGAGACCGTGGACGCAAAAGGTACGTGGGTCTGGTGCCCCGTGGGTCTGGTGCCCTGTGGCTCCTCAGCCTTGCCTGCCTGGGCTTTGGTGGCGCTCCAGGCTGCAGTCTGGAGTGCCAGCCAGGCCTTTGCACCGTGGCCAGCTCAGCTCGGAGGGCGGAGTCCTGTTGGTGTTTAAGCTCCTGCTGTGTGCTGCACTCTTTACTGAGCTGACCTGCAGGGTGCCTGGCGGCGAAGCCCAGGTTGTCACTGATGCCATAGGAGGCATTTGGTCCAGTGATAGGCACCTGGTGCAGACACTTGAAACAGCTGACAAGAAGTCAGTGCTGGAGGTTACTCCAGGCATGTTTTCATGTGTGTGTCTGTGTCTGTATGTATGCATGTATGGTTGTTTTTGACGCAGGGTTGCATAGCTCAGGCTGGCCTCAAAATTACTACATAGCCAGGAATGACCTTGAACTTGTGATCCTCCAGCCTCTGCCTCCCTGGTGCTGGGACTCTAGGTGTGTGCTGCCACACTCGCATACTCCACTAATGTGGGTTTTACACTAGTGTGATGTGAGTCATTGCAGTTGTGAGGGTTTGTGCTTGTGTGAGTGATGCCACCGCCTGGGACATGGCAGCCTCTCCTGTGCCCTCCTCCCTCTCAAGTGACCTCTAGCACTTGCTCTTCCTGTGAGAGGCCTTTGCGGTCACTCCCTCCGGAAGCCACAGACTTCCATTGCTCTCTGTGGGGCTGCTCTTGTCCTGTGCTGGCCTCGCTGTCTCTCTCACGTGATTGTAGGTGCCAGGAGGCCACCCGTCTTACAGAGTACTGAATGAATGGTGTCAGTCCAGGGTCGGTGCCCTCAGTGTGTCACTGTTACATCTCTGGCAAGAGTAGGTTTGCAGGTGATGACAGATAAGGTTTCTTTGAGCATTCTGCCATGTTATTACAAAACATTTAGAAGTGCTGTGCTTGTGTGTGCATGTGCGTGCACGCATGTGTCATGTGATCTTGTGGAGGTTAGAGGACAATCTTTGGAGTCAGTTCTTTTCTACCGTGTGACTCCTGGATATTGAACTCAGATCATCAGGCTTGGGGTGGCAAGCACACATCTACTCACCAAACCACCTTTCTGGTCCTGTTATTATAATTAAAACCATTTTTATCTTTATTTCATTATTTCATGTGTATTAGTGTTTTGCCTGAAAGTGTGTGTGCACCACATGCATGCCTAGTGTCCAGGGAGGTCAGAAGAGGACGCTGGATCACCAGGACTGGAGTCACAGACAGTTGTGTGTCTCCATGTGGGTGCTGAGAATTGAATGCAGATCCTCTGCGAGAGCCTAAGTGTTTTAAAAACCACTAAGCCCAGTGATTAAAATCTCTCCAGCCCTGTTACTAAAATTTACAACATTGGTTCTTACATCATCATCCTCTAATAACTGAATAACAATAATAATTTAAAAAGCTAACTGTCTCCCCAGAAGCATATGAGGTAGGGACAATTACTGGCCTTCTCTACAGGAAGTGCTATGGCACTCTGTCCAGGGGCCTTGGTCTGTTTCTAGGCCAGCACTGTGGCCCTGGCTCTCACACCTGGCACCACTACACAGTGCCACCACCCCACACAGCTGTATACCTACCTTCTTCAGCTGCAGGAACTCCCTGGGGCCACCCCCCTCATACCCCAAAATGTGACCTGACTAGAGGAGAGAGCTCTAAGCTCCTGGACCAAAGAGCAGCTAGAGGTCTGTCCTTCCTCTCTTCCGTTTGTCCTTTTTGCTCTGTCTTTCTCTTCCTCTCGGTAGCTCTGGCTTCTCTCCTCTCTCTTGGTGTGTGTAGTTAGTGCTGGAAGCTCTGGGCTGGGTGGTAGGTTCTCAGACGAGATCCAGCCTCTGGGAGGCTGGGGTGGGGGTGAGAAACTCCAGTATGGAGGCCACAGGCAGACTGTGGTAGGCAGGTGAGGAATGAGGGGCAGGAGGCTAGACAGAGCTTCCCAGCCAGGCCTAGACAGGCATCTCTCCATCAGGAGGCCCTGGGTCTCCCTCCTCCAGGATCACAGCAGAGAACATTACAGCCCCCTGTGGTGGCTTCACCTGGGTCTCAGGACGTCTCCAGAGCCCTTTCAGGTGTCTGATGTCCAAGCAGGAGTGTGTGCTGCACCTGTCCTTGCTTCGTCTGCAGAGCTGAGCTGCAGCTCTGGTACTGAGAACATGGGTCCAGTGAGAGGTGCAGTGGCCACTCTGGAGCCAACCAGCAGTTTCTGCTGTCTGGACTTGGTCTGTTCCTGCCGCAGCTGGGAGGCAGGGTCTCGCTCCCTCTGCCTGACGTCTTCCCTGTGCTCACCACGGGGCATGGAAGAGTCCCGTGTGTAGAGCTGGCTCTGGTCCTCTCACCTCTACATTCTGCCCCTCTCCTGCCCATGTCCTCCATGTACTGCACACCCACTATGGACTCTTTGCAGGGTCTCTGTGGAGACAGGGGCCAGGCAGGCTATGGCAAAGGTGCCTTTGAAACTTAGAAAATGGAAGCCAAGGAACAGGCAGAAAGGCAGGTGGATGCCTGGGCGGGTGGATGCCTGGGCAGGTGGATGGATGCCTGGGCGGGTGGATGCCTGGGCAGGTGGATGGATGCCTGGACGGGTGGATGCCTGGGCAGGTGGACTTGCTGAGTTGAGCCTGTAACAGTGAGAGTGTGGGTCTGAGCAGCAGCTGGTACCCGGGTGGCTGTGCCCAGGGAACGGTCATGGGCTCTGGCTACAAGACTGCTGTATATAGCAGGTGGACTTAACTGTGCCTGAGCCTCCAGCACAATACTCTCCCACTCAGTGGGAGGCCAAGCAGCCAGGCTCCCCCTTGTTCCGAGGGCTGTTGTGTGGGACTGGCCAGCTAGCCGGATGTGCTTCCTTTTAACAAGTGCTTTGTTTCGTTTTGTTTCATTTAAGACAGTGTCTCTCAAGGTAGCCTAGGCTGGCCTCCATCTTACAATATAGCTCAGGCTGGCCTTGAACTCATAGAAATCCTCCTGCCTCAGGCTCCCAAGTGCTGGGATTACAGACACATGCTACCACTTCCCTCTTCTAGAATCTGTTTTTGTTGTACTGGCCAGCGGGACTGCTGCTCTGCTGGGTCTTTCTGGTCTAGGTACAGCAATAATGGGAAACTCTGCTACCAAGTCCCAAGCCCAGGAGGAGGGCTCTGTCATGGGCCACTTTGGCAATAGAATGACACACGTGAGTGCTGGGAGGACAAGTCTTACAAGGTCCTAAGGAGGCATCTACAGAAGCTCTGGTGACCCAGGCATGGTCCCCCTCTCCTACCTTCCGGACAGGAACTGTAGATCTGCCCAAGTGCCAACATCTGGGTGACAGAGGTGGGCTCAGAAGAGTGACTCTCCTGATGGCCTCAGTGTGGGCTGAATGTTTCCGAGGCTTCATTCTGAGCCCTTCCGTTTGAATTTTAAGCAAAAAGAGCAAGGTCACAAGGCATTCCCAGTCCACTGCCCTCCCCTCCCCTCCCCTCCCCCTGCCATACCACTCATGTGTTACTTACTCTTTCCTAGGAGTAGATGCTGGGGGAGTCTAAACTGTACCCTGCATTCTGGTAGGGGAGGGGCTCCTATCCTGGCCTGTTGTTCCCCTGCCCCTCCCCTGCTTTGCAGCAGCCATGGGAAAGGGACTTTTGAACTGCAAGGTCACTTGGCTCTTTCTCCCACCCCCATCCACCTGGGCGGCAGCAGTTCCACAGCTCCCTCCCTCTCTCCCTCCCTCCCTCCCTCCCTCCATGGCTTCTGCTGCAGCCTCTGGCTCAGTGGAGCTTGCTGCAGAGGCTGCTACACAGGCTGGGGCACCCTGGAGGAGGAAGCAAGAACCATCCATCAAGCCAGTAGTAACCCCGCAGTGTCTGACCTGGGTTCAACCCACAGGAGGCCCTGCCCCAAGTCACATACGCCCTAGGGCCCTCCGTGGGGTCTCCTGATGCAGCAGCATGGGCTATGGGTGTGACCTTGGTTAGGTCACCTGCTGCAATATAGCAGTGACTCCAAATGGCTGTGCAGAGGAATCAGATCTTTAATGACAGAGGTTCAGTAGTCTGTGTTCTGGGATCTGAACCCAGCCTCTGGATCATCAGAATCCAAACTTTTAACCGTTGTGTTCCTCATCCTCTCAGTGCCCAGGCCTCAGGAGTTGGCTTTCCTCACTACCTTGTACTCAGAGGCACTCTCTACTAACCCAGTTTCTCTCTGCACAGAAGCCTTTGGAAGGGGTGGGGGGTGGGGGACACACTTCCCGAGGCTGTCCGTGCTGGGCAGTGTCTCTGTCCAGGCCCCAGGGAAAGGAGTATGGTGTATGAGTTAGAGTGACTGCCCTGTGCCTCTCACCAGGGTACCGAAACAGCCAGGGTCCTGGCGGGCAGCACCAGCTGTCCTGCTCCTTCCACCTTGTGACATATGGTGGCGCTGGGCACTTGCTCAGCAGAGCAGTGTCCCTTCCGACCCATCTGCCTTGCTGTCTGCAGGCCTAGCTGGGGTAGCTGCAGCCTCCTGCCCAGAGGGAGGGCCCTGGAGAAGGGGAGGAGCAGCCAGCCATCAGACAGTTTCTGCTCTGCCCTCACCGGCCTTATTTTTAGCGATCCCTGAAGACATTGGGAGGGACTGCAGCTGGCTTTTAGTAGTTTTTCCTTTGTTTCATTAAAGTAATCTATTTTTGCTGGGAAACCCAGCTCTCGCACAGCACCGAAGCTATGGAAGGGGGTTACTGGTTCATTTCTGGGGACGTGACCCTCAGCTCAACGTTTGTAGTGCTGAAAGCCACGGTAGTGTTCTCTGGGTGATTTTCGGCATTAAACTAGGTAATGTCCATGGATGTACTTAACAAATAGAGATGCTGTCCAAGTTTGCCAGGAGAGGAACAGTCTTAAGATGCCTATTCCAGCCAACATTGGCTTAGTACGTAACAACCTGTAATTGGTCTGTAATACTTGTCCTTTCTTACTTAGCCCCCACCTCCATTTCCATATATTGACAATTTGCATA